GAGGAGAGGAGAGGAGAGGAGAGGAGAGGAGAGGAGAGGAGAGGAGAGGAGGCTCCCTTAGCAGGTAGGGGAAAAAAGAAGTCTTAAAAGAAATTGGTGAATTGCCAAAAATGCAAAGTTAACAGAGTAAGAGAGCTGCAACCAATTCCTACCAGATAACAACATGACTGACATAAAGCTAAAAGTCTGGCTTGTCTTACAGGACACAGCACCAAAAGCCCTGGAAAATTTTTAAAGATGTAGGAACCCTTTTAGCAAAAACCCACACTGTGCTCACCATGAAATATTTATCAGCACTATTTTGTATTTCAGTCCTAGAATGCATATCTCAGATTTGCTCAAAATTAAATGTATTTCACTAATCTATTTCTCCCAAAGGGCCAGTATTGTAAAAGTGAGTGATTCTGCAAAATCTTTAGGAAAAAAAAAAAAAAAAAAAAAAAAAAAAAAGAGATAATTGAGAACAATTTGCATTCCTTGATTAAGGGAAGAAAAGAGGCTGCATCCACTTTTGCATTGTATTTATGATGCTGCCACATTTGGCAGCCATAAAAAACCCAAGGAACTACTAAGCCAAGCAATGAAAAATAACATTTTTCTCCCACAGAATTTACATTCAAGACAAACAATTGTTGGAGGAGGGAGGCAAGAGCTGACAGCTGTTGGTTTGGTACTGATGGGGTAAAAGAAGCTCACAGTATCAGTCAAACAGAGCAAGTTGTTTGACACTGCTAAAATTAAGAATTCCAAATAACTTTTCTAATTATATTATACCTTCTCTCCATCAAATTACAAAACCTGCTTTTTGAACAAAGTTCAGGCTCCTAAACAAGGTAAGTAATTTTTTTCCAGTAACAAACACAAAATCAGACCTTTAAGATCCTGATATGAATCTATCGGCTAGACAAGCTGGCTCTCTTAAGAAAGGAAAAGTTGAGACAATCTTCCAACTCTTCAGATATCCCAAGACCTACACTTTTCTCCCCTGGCAGCTTAGTTTCCTTAAGAGCCTTCCATAAGGGCCCTTCAAGGTTGTCTTTTGAAAGTCGAAGAGCCTCTTGAATTTCTGGAGAACTCCAAAAGAAGCCTGAGTCATGGTTCTCCTTTGTGAAAGCCATGCCAGCTCTTCCCCAAATTCTCACTTTTCTACTAGAGCTTCTTCTAGTTTGTCAGGTACAAATAACTAATTCTTAGAATGAATGATCCAAGTTTTCCCCCTAAAAACTATTGTTTTCTTAAGTCACATTAATCCTCTCAATCTCTCTGTTACTGAGACTATTTAGAAAGAAGCTGAACTGTGATATGAAGCCTATTTTTTGAGTTATTTTTTCTGTCTTAAGCATACATTGAGGTATTTTGGCAACCTGACATAAAATTATCACTAAACTTATTCCATATTTCTACTGACATTTCAGTTTCTCCAATACATCCCCTACAAAGAAACATCCAGCATGGGATCACCCCAGACTTTTCCAATTAAAAACATTAATCCATGTTTCTTGCTCTGTCCTTTTATTTTCTGAACATCCTTTTTCAGCTTAATCTATCAGTCTTATATCCCCAAGTTCTCTGCCTGGATGTTTTTTGTCCCTGCTGAAAGTACTCAGACTCCAGGAGCATTTCACTTTTTTAGCCTTCAATATGCCATAGGTTTTTTTTTGTTGTTTTTTTTTCTTTTCTCACATGAATACAACTGCAGGTTTTTGTAGGATGCCTTCTAACTACTTCCATTCCCTGATGTTTAATTACACCAAAGTGTCTGAAAGGTAAAGACGTCGTAGTTCCAGTATCACCTGCAGAGACATTGCCCATTTCTTTTTAGTCAAGCCTCTTCATTTTTAATCTGTTCCCATTTTGAGATCAAGCAGAACTGCTATGCCACGGTGGTGGCTGATGCTCTGGAGAGGATACAGCACCAGGCAGAAGGGCACAGCACACTTGTGTCACACTCTCACCCATTCTGTGTCACCACTCCCCAACAACTCTGCAGTATCACACAATTTAATCTTGGCATTTTTCTCCAGTTTATCCACTGATTTCCTCCAGCACATCATACCTACTAAATTATCGTGGAGCAGCACTAATACCATGTTTTCCCTGTTCAAACTAGGAATTTCAAACTTTAGATATTCCAGCCTTGGACAAGTGGACAATTTGATTTGACGATATTATTTAGTTTGAAATACAACCTCTTCACACTCAAAGCACTTTAAAAAGCTGGAGGAAGAACATATTACTTACTGTCTTCCTTCTATCAACTTTCTAGTAGGCTTCTTGTGCCCTGAATTAAAAAGAAGACAGGGGAATTTCTCCCATCATATTTTATACATTTCTATGCAAGCAGAAAGAAAATAATTTTTAAAAAAGGAAAAAAATTCAATTCGGTGCTTGGCCCATTTAGAGGAATCTCATAGTCAACTTCCGAATGAACCTGTCATGAAATCAAATAATATCTCTTACCTCTCTACCACCAATACTCAGATTATATTTAGAATCAAATATCTACCTGTTTATTTTAAATAAGTTCTGATAGCACTGAATACTAAGAGAAAATATTTTTAGAACACTATTAGCATTTATAGCTAACAATAATGGCTAAAAATAACTTGCAAATTATTCTCCCTTAGTATTTCAACCAATTTTTTCAGCACGGCTTTGTTACTTACAAGGAGACATAAAAACCTGTAAATATTCAAGAAAAGAAAGTACAAACTACAATGCTCAATAGTAACAGATAAATGTGCTGGCACATACATCACCTGTGTCTGGATTCCTATTGCAAACAAATGGCAAGCTAATAATATATACAGGCTTTGAGGAGTGAAAACAAATATTCTGATCCAACAAATCCACTGCATTTGAATCCACTGAATTATGTGGAAAGGCTCCTTTGGGATTTTAATCCATTGCTTGAACAATGCTAACAGCATAAACCTACACACAAACATTTTAGCCCCTAACTAAAGCCTATAAGGAATGGTATCTGACTGATACCAGTATCTCATATTCTGCTCCCTCATTTAATTAAGGTAGCAGTGTTAGGGTGGGAAATATATTTTAAATAAGTTCTGATAGCACTGAATACTAAGAGAAAATATTTTTAGAACACTATTAGCATTTATAGCTAACAATAATGGCTAAAAATAACTTGCAAATTATTCTCCCTTAGTATTTCAACCAATTTTTTCAGCACGGCTTTGTTACTTACAAGGAGACATAAAAACCTGTAAATATTCAAGAAAAGAAAGTACAAACTACAATGCTCAATAGTAACAGATAAATGTGCTGGCACATACATCACCTGTGTCTGGATTCCTATTGCAAACAAATGGCAAGCTAATAATATATACAGGCTTTGAGGAGTGAAAACAAATATTCTGATCCAACAAATCCACTGCATTTGAATCCACTGAATTATGTGGAAAGGCTCCTTTGGGATTTTAATCCATTGCTTGAACAATGCTAACAGCATAAACCTACACACAAACATTTTAGCCCCTAACTAAAGCCTATAAGGAATGGTATCTGACTGATACCAGTATCTCATATTCTGCTCCCTCATTTAATTAAGGTAGCAGTGTTAGGGTGGGAAATATAAGATGAATATAAAATATACATATTTATATATATATAATTATAATTATAAGGGATACATTTTTAATATAAGGGAAATATTTTTCCTTGTCTCTGTAACTGTAAATAATTCACATCAAGCTGCCCTTTAGACAAGAAAAATTAAATTACAGGGGCCACTCACTCACAGTGGTAACTATTGAACAGGTTCACACAGCAGGCTATACATTTTTGCAGCAGTCTTCCTTTCCCTATATTAGCTGTAAAAGGAATGCAGAGCTGCAGCTGCCCGTGGGAAGGGGCAAGCACTGCACGACCCAAAGCAGCAGAGGCTTCGCCTCCTGCACAGAGCACAAAGCAGAGCATTGTTCCACACAACCACTCCGTGGAATGAACTGTAGAAATTCAACTCAGAAAAAGACAGTTTCAATTGAAGCATTTGTCTTCCTACTGCCAAACACTCCCATCCGTTTTTAATAAATTCTGGTAACTCTTCAAACAAGCCCATAAAAACTTCTAACTGGCTTTCTGGTGTGGGCAAGGGCTGTGTGCAGGGGGAAGCACACCTGCCATGAGCCACTGCTCCTTCCCACAGAAACAGGGGTGAATGAGTGGGAAGCAGTTGCTGCTCTGAGCAGAATTGGCACAGTTTATTCTCCCCCTTGCAACAAAAAGGAAGTTGGACTGACTTTATCTTACCAGATGACCTGCAGTAAAGTTCACCCATGAGAACTGCAGGAGGATTCCTCTGCAGTTGGACAAGCTGGCACAACTTACAGCATGAAAATTAAACATACGCAAGCATTTACAAAGAGTTCTTCAAAGCTTCAATCTTAAATGAACTTGCCCCTACATCTGTCATCATGCTGATGTGTTCTGTTCCAGGATCCTGGGATCATCCCATGTCCTAGTTAACGGACATTATGAAACATCTATTCAACACCTTTCAAAGTCTCATACAGTCCTTCTATAATGCTGGAGGACTTTAGACATCAAAACAAATTATACTGAAGTAAATAAGGGTAGAAGATACCCAGCATCCTACAGAGAGATATTCATGCAATGCAGCCTGTAGACTGCACAGTACCAGAGCAAGTCATTTGTCCAACCAAGTTCATAAACTAAACTCAGTTTACATCTGTTAGGAATCAGTGCACTCCCAAGTTTAACCTCTGAGAAGAGTGCTCTTTATCTACAGCTAAAACCTGCTCCCCTTTGGTTTCCCTTAGTCACCTCACATCAGTATTCCCAAAGACTCACCCTGCAGCAGTTTCATTTGGTGACATTTGGGGAAGAACATAAGGAGCAAACTTTCCTTTTCTTGTGCTGCAAGAAGCACAACTTTGGTATGGCTCCCTCCACCCCACTGTGGCTACGAGCAGAGACCAGACACTTCCCTTTAACCTGAAGCTCTGGCCACAGGGATGGGAAGGTGGCCTCTCCCAGGCAACAAATGACACAGATTAATCCTGGGGCTAGAGCAAGGGCCAGCAGCCACATTGGTATTTTGTTCTTCAACTACACAGCTCTGCGTTCTCTGTCAGTAGGACTGTTCCTTAGCCCTAGCTAATGTGTGGCTTAACACAATGTCACGGTTTGACTCAGGATCAGCAATTAAACCAAAGACAAGAAAGATGCAAAGTTCTCAATCAAGCAGTGAAACACTGTGTTGGAAAAGAACAGGTTTCACACATACTTGTCAACAGTGTGACCAAAACCATCATCAGCATGGTGCCCAGTTTCAGTCCAAAAACAATAGTAAAGATTTTGAGAACAAATGAACAGTCTTGGAAGCTTTGCTAACCATGACACCTGGAATTTAACATTCCTTACCGTACAGTTGCACCTGCAACCTCTCCACCTGCTTTCCGGTCACCACTATAATCTAACATGTGGTTCATAGAATCATAAAAAAGGTTTGGGTTGAAAGGGACCTTAAAGATCATCTAGTTCAAATCCCCCTGAAGAGGCGGGGACACCTCCCACTAGACCAGGTTGCTTTCAGAAAGGGGGCATCCACGACTTCCCTGGGCAACCTGTGCCATTGTCTCACCACCCTCACAGAGGAAAAAAATATTCCTAAAGCTTATTTCTAACATAAATCTACTCTCTTCCAGTTTACATGGCCTATTATCCTTTCTTTCCTTTGCTCCAGCAGAAAGTAACAAGAGAGGTCTGATCACCAGGATAACCTGCTTTTTTAACGACACCTGGAAGTTTAGAAATCGTATCGTTCTCACTGCGTTGATCGTATAGAGGCAGAGCAGGATGTCAACCATCAGAACAGTCAATACCATTGCTCACAGAACTTCAGCTTCCTGCTGCTTTCTTCTAAGCCACGTTTCTCTTTGATGACTGCAGAGTGAGGTGTTGCCTAGGCACATCATGCTAGAATAAATATCCAATTTGTCCAACCCCGTGTTACTGGTACAAAAAGTACTAGGAACCTCAAGAAAATGCCCAGAAGTTATGAAGGGGGCAATTAAAAATTCCAACAGGGTGAGTCCCTTCCTAGTCCTTTGGGTCCTCAGTTTGACTAATAAAAAAAACGTGAAACACAATTTTAAAAAATAATTGTTCTTTCATTATTTGCATAAATTTTGCATCCATCTTTAATATGACCAATCTGTTTAGGTGGAAACCCAGCCACACATTTTAATAAGAGATTTCCGTAAAAGAAGGAGCTGAGATTTGGAAATGAATTATTTTGAAATGGAATTTCAAGAGTTAGTTCCCAACATTTACTGGCTCCTTTTTCGAAATAGTGTTGCTTACAAATCTACTGAATTGCATAGATGTCTAGATAGCCAATGGAAAAACAAAATGTTCAGATTTCCATTTGTGAGAACGATATTTTAATGAAATCCCTCCAAATGCTGCACACTGATTCCACAGTATTCTCTTAATCAAATCTATACCGTATGTTTCACCCAACAGATATAACCAAACAAGGTATCACCACGCAACACAGAAGAGGCCTATTATTTAAGAGGAAGCTGGAGGCATCATTTATAACCTCGGTATGGTGGGAATGAAATGTTGTGCAGCCCTCACGGACAACAGGAAGAACCTTTCAGGTAAAGGAAAGTTACTTCATAAGTTTTAACCTCTTCTTCTACATCCAGAGGGTTACAAGAGCAGGATGCTGAGGAGCGCAGATGAGCTGGACAAGGCTGCCCTCTGCTGATACTAAATTCCAGCTGTGTTAGTCACTTACCACTGCAGGTGCGTTCACCACCGAGAGGTTGTAGCCATAAAGAAAAGACGACCCAAAAGCACCAGTTAGAGCGGCTGCGATAAGACTCCCAGACCAACTCTGAAAAACAAAGAGAAGATGTGGCCATCGTTAGTATGCTTTCAATTAAAGTACCTCAGGTTTTAAACACTCCTCATGTTTTCTTGCATAGCTCCTGCAGGCAGATCTCCTTGCTGCAGATTGGCCTGAAACACTTCCATTTGCTGCAATCTGAGGAACAGTAAATTTGAAGTGACATCATCTCCCTTAACATTTACCGAGGCATAAGAGAACATTTAAACTTTCAACCTCACAGATTTTTGCTGCAAGCATCCCATCAGTGCCCACACCAAAAAGTAAAATGCTGGAGAAGCATACTCAGCAACATGTGGTGGCAAAACACCATTAAGGCAACAAGCCATGAGAAGCTTCTATTTGATGCAACAGGTCTGTGTGTAGACCTGGCTTAGGTGAAAGCCTGGCAGATGGTGTGCCACCCACTCCCATGAGTATAAAGATTAGTGAAACTGTGACCACAAAGAAGACAATTCTGTCTGCAGCCTAGGTTTTGTAGCCTAAAAGCAGGTTTCCAAGAGTAATTTGCTGTTCCACACACACACACACTACGGTGGAGACGCCATTCGCCCTTTTTCTCCAGTGACACACATGTAACTCCCCCTTCTCAGCTCTCCTCTCTCCATCCCCTCATCTTTTTTTTAGTGCATCTCTACTAACAACTATTTCTTCCACATCAACTGTTGAATAAAAAGCAGGTCTGCTTAGATACTGGACTTCCACTCAGCTGATCTGAGAGATTTTGTAATTCAGGGTCCTTTCCACCTTCCCCAGCATTACTTTCTGCCACTCAGTTCTGCTGGAGTACAAAGTGGCAGGTGTGACCATTGTCATTCCCAAGAGATGTTAAAATTAGTATTTTGGTGGGTGGTCAATTGTGATCGTCATTTTGTAAATCATGGAGGACAACTCACCTTTCTTGACTTCTGAAAGCATTAAAGTGAGTGGCTTTTTAACAAGTCATAAACTGAACCATAACAAAACAAAACAACCAAAACACAACTCCACTGAGGTTCTAGAATTTCAGGCACAGATCACTGTCATTGTGTGCTCTGACTCATCAGTCACTGGAGCCTCAGCTATTTCGGGAGGAAACAGACCTGCTTAAGCAGGCCCATAAACTCTGCTTCAGTGATATCACTTATGCAGACACAACAGGTTAATGAGTCCATATGTTCTGTCAACTGCACAAACTGCACAAGGGTTCACTTTGGAAAACAGATGCTTGGAGAATGAACTAGGCTTGTGTAGCCACCACATGGCATAGCAGCAGTGATGGTGCACTGCAACGAGCTCCACCACCCTCAGGAGAGGCACAGCTGGCCAAGTGAACACACTGCAGTTGGTAGCACGTGCCAGAGCTCACACTTCCACACTTGTCATCACAGACTCCCTTTGGTCCATTAAGAAGGGACAAGATACCCAGGTGCCAGGGCAGGAGCCCAGCGTGCAGCCCAGTGTGTGTGGGGTCTACCAAGCTCCTCAGCTACCACTGCTCAGGGCTGAAAACAGGCCCTGTGGGACAGCCCAACATTTTTAACTTCTCCCACGTGGTGTGGGAACTTTTGAAGAGATTACACAGTTCATTAACCGGGCTATTTTCAGTCAGATCAAGAGGAAGTATAGAGGGGGGAAAATGCCCTGTGTAAAAAGTATATCCCTGAGTACATTACATAAGCCAAATGCAATTTCTTATTATTAGCCAGCTTCTTAAAATTAACCTACCACCCATGCACAAAGCTTTGCATGGCTACTTGGGTAGCAAGAAGCAGAAATTTTGACACAAGGCCTTACTTAGCTTGTGGTGGTAACACCTGGTATCAGGCACCCATTATTATTATACTGTGCACAAGGATTCCTGCACTTAAGAGGGACTGCTAGTACTCTGAACTAATGATTCTCAGGAGAATATTCCTGGAGGACTACCAGGCTGCTCTCAACGGGTTCACAAATGCTAAGAGCGAGTTCACTATGTGGTCTTGATACAATATTGCTAAAGGGCTCTGCTCCAACAGTGTTTGACTAACTCACCAGAAAAATCCTGCAAACAAAATTATTCAGACCGTATAGCCCAGTGTTTATTAAAAACTCCAGTTAATGCTTAAACCTTTCAGCACAGGCATAGTACATGCAGGTGAGGTTAAGTGGAAGATAATGCAGGGCAACTCACAGAACTGCTGTCAAAATAGAAAACCTCACATCTACTTTATTTTCAAGTGTTGCAAATAGGCAAGTTTAGAGGCTACCAAGAACTATTAAAGCATATAACCTGCTGTAGAAAGCCTCCAATCTACTCAGTTCAGAGTTTCACAGTTATTGGAACACAAACTTCAACTTCTGTGTGACCTGTCTCCTCACACACTGTTTTAAATATTTGCTCAGGCTTCAGCAATGCCAGATAAAAGATGAATGCAAAATGAAGCAAGAGCACAAGAGGTAGGGGGTGGGGGGGAAATCAAACTCTCGCTCAGAAAAAATATTAACCCTATGGCAATGTTAACAAAAGGAAAGGGAAAGAAGAAGCACAACCAACCAAAAAACCAACAAACATACAAAACCCACACAACAAAAAAAACCCCAAACAACAACGAAAGCAACAAACAAAAAAAACCCAAACAAGCCACCAATGTGTTTTGCAGTGACCAGGAAACCAGGAGGCAGCCACGCCTCTCAGAGCTGTTCCCTGGCTGCCCCGCCACCGGGTGCCCGCGCCTCGCGGCTGCCTGGGCAAGGGCAAGGGCAGGCGGTGTGACCGGCCCCGCAGCACCCGGTGTTCGGCACAGAAGTTGCATTTCAGTTCACAGCGAAAACCTCCAGATACCTGAGAGCTGTTTACTTGTGAAAGTCCACATTTTTTGTCTTATCACAGGTCTCTGAGCACCGTGCTCCGAAAGATGCTTTTCCCAAGTCCTGCTGTTGTTCAGCGTGGCAATTTGTGGCTGCTACTATGAGCCTTAAATCGCTTTTTTTTTTTTAAAGTGCATACCAGGTTACATTTCAGTTTTCCAAACACAGTTTAGAATATTGTATTTGGCTTATTTATAACTTAGTTCGTTATAATGCCCTTCTCACAATTGTGCAAGCACATAAGCAAGTTTTAATACTCTTAAATGGGTACTGATAAGACTTTCTACAAACCCGGGTTTCGGAGCACCTTACCGAGATCCAGCTTTAGGAAAGCACCAAGTCCCCGGGCAATCCCGAGCCCCGGGCACGGCTCCGCCCCGGGCTGCTCTGCCCCTCGGGCACCGGGAAAACAGGGGAAGCCTCCAGCCCCCTCTCCCCGGGTTTGCCCTGAGGATTCCCCCGGTGCTGGTGACCGAGCTATGCAGCAGGACCCTCCCTCGCCTTGCCCTGCTCCCACCGCCCGTCGCTGCCCCCCCGCGGACGGCTGCCCC